CCTCGGGCGACAGCGACACCTGCGACCACACGGCGGCGTCAACCTCCAAAACTCGCTCGCTCGTCACGTTGAACCGCGATTGCCGAAAGCGTTTTGTGGCTTTTCAAAGCCGGCGTGTTTGCATTCGGAAACTTTTTCCTTCAGATCCTTCCGAAAGCCTTTCCCGGATGCGCCCTTCTCACCTGCTTCCGGGTGACGACGGGCGACTTGACGTGTCTGATGGGCGAGACGGACGGTCGGGCGGAGGGCGACACGGATCTGCGGGCGCAACGACAAAGAGGCGGAGTTAGAAAGTCGAAGCGCGGACGCTTGCCGACAAGAAGGCGAAGATGGAGAAGAAGAAGTCGCCGGGGCGGACGACACCAGCGACTTATAAAACGTGGCAGCCACCGCAATGGCCACAATTGGTCGATTCCTTCGTGCACCACCAGAGGGCGGCAACGTAGCACAGGCGCTCGGCGTACCTGACGGGCGCAGGCGCAGGTCCTTTCACGTGGCGGACGGGCGACGGCGACTGCTGGCGTCCGCCGGTCACTTTGCTCAAGTAGGCGGGCGGCGATCTGGACGTGGGCTTCGGGGGCACCCTCGGGGGAGTCCTGCGAGCCAGGTGCTGGCTGATCACGGCGCCTTCCGCCTGCATCTCCATCACGCTGCTCTGGAAGCCGCTCTCAATCTTTGCGGCAAAGGGGTCGCCGTTAGACCGAGCCGAGTCGGCAAACGTTTGCGTTTGCCAAAAGCGAATCCGAAGGAAGCGCGAGTCCGCGCGCGGTGGACGCCGGCGACTTTCCTACTCTTGCCTTTGAATTTGGCCGGCCAAGCCTCGCGACGGTACAGAGGCCGGCCGGGCTCCGCCGGCACTCGAGCCGGCCGTTTTTCAAATAGCGCGCCTCGTACGTCCTTTGCCGTTCGAAGGGGCAAAGCCGGACGGATGCCGGGGAGCAAAACGGGCGGGGCTCACCTTACGCACTCCGATCTGAGAGGCGGCAACGACGACGGTCTTGGTTTTCTTGGCGGGGACGGCTTCTTCGCCCTGGACCAGCAGCTCGGCGGTGGACGTGGCCCGGCCGCTGGCGTTGGCGGCCGTCACCGAGTACGTGCCCGAGTCTTCCGGGAAGGCCTCGGCGATCAGCAGGCCGTAGCGGTCCCCGTCCCGGACGATGGTGAAGTCGGCCGAGCTCTGGATCTCGGCCCCCTCGCGGTAGAACTTGACGTCGGGCGGCGGGATGCCCGTCACCTGGACGCTCAGGCGCACCTGGCTGCCCTGCCGCACCGAGGCGCTCTGAAGTCTCTGAAGGAAGTTGGGTGGCGCCGTCTCGGCTGCGCGGGGGACACACACACCGGCCGCGGGGGCGTTTGTCCAAAGGCCAAAACGTTCATGGGGAATTTCAAGAAGCGGGGAACGTCACGTCTCGCGGCACCTACGGGCCATTATTTACTGGCGGCCGTTCGCTCGTCGCCGACCGGCGGTTCATTTCGGGGCGTCGAGCGCGGCCTCGGTCGCGACGGCGCCAGCTGGCCCGGGGGTCTCACCTGTCACGAGGAGTTCGGCGGTGCTGGTGGCCTAGTGCCACGACGCTCTGCAGCGGCTGCGTGAAGGTCGGCGCTTGCGCGGACATGTCGGCTGGCTCGGCTCCCTGACCAAAACGGCGGAGACAAAACAATTGGACCGCGTCCGAGCTTTTGGCTTTTCTGCGATTCCGGCGGCCCGGCTTGGAGCGCGGCGCCGCTTCTGGCGCTTTTCGAAAACTCCAAAACCCAAAGCCACCAATTCTTGCCCAAAACGCTGAACATTCATGAGGCGTTTTCCACGCACAAAAGGGGCCGAACAAAACCAACATCAATGGAGCGTCAACCTGCGACTTTGCAGTGGCTGAGCTGCGAGACTATTTGGCCGTCCGCTGTACTGACAAGATGATGGAAACAAGCGCAATCACATACCTGTCAACTTTTCCGAGCGCCAACCTGTATAAACTAGCAAAAAAATCCTTATAAAGAGCAAAAAAATTCTTATAACATCCCAAAGCATTTTATATGTCAAAATAACGGCAGAAAAAAACCCACGAAATATGAATGATATATTTGTTTCCTTGCAGAACTTGCTTGTGACTTCAAGATGGCGCCGCGACAGTGGCTGCCTTTCCAGCAGCTCCTATTTATTTTGTTCTTCTACTTCTTCCTCTCATACCTTTGCTGCTGTGGAGTGGGAATTTCTCCATTGTGAAACTATTAAAGGTTTTCTTATCTTACACTCCCCAAGTATGCAATGAATACTCTGCTGTTTACAACGAGGAACCACGTGATTTACTGGAAAGTTACCGGAAATGAAAGCATTCGAGTAGACGAGCACCATTCTGGGCAAAAGCAAACGGAACTACCTGTTAGGGGAAAAAAAAAACAAAACAAAAAAAAAACGGCAATTTTCAGAATCCGTCTGATTTGTGCGATATGGCCATATACGTAAGATTCAGCACAAAATCCGTGTGAACTATGGCTAAGCCGTAGAAGTTGACAGGTATGCAATCAAATGACATACTCGCTGAAAGCAAGGATGTTCAACGCTACTTTTTTCTTTTTTTTTTATGAGACTGATACCAGATTGATTGTAAAAAAAAAACCACGTGTGTGCGTATGTGTGCCGCGCGTGCGTCGTCGGACTTGCTCGGACCACTTCAGGCACGGGTGTCGACGTCAGGTCCTGGGGGGCCGCCGCGACGCATGTTTTCCGAGCGCCCCGGTCGCAACGCACCCGATCGAAACGAACAAGCTCAACGTCGGGCTTCCGCAGAGCTTGCCGACGATCATCTGAAGCAGGTGCGTCGCGACAGGGAGACTCGGAAAAGCCGCGGGACGGCGGCCCCGCAGGACCGGAGTCGCACAACCTGGCCTTCGGGCCCGATCCGCGCTGCGGGCAAACGCCATTCGGATGCGTTTTTTCCTTCGAAGGCGCTCGACGGCCTCGGTCGGCGGGGGGCAAAATGGGGACGGACGCCGGCTTGCTGAGTTAGGCGTGCGGAACGCGGGCGGGCGACGCCACTTGAGCGAGCTGAGGGGCATTTGGGCCTCGGGCCACGAGCTCGTCGCTCTCCGATGACGCCAATATTTCTTTCTCACTGTTTATCAAGGAAACGTCAACCGCGAGCGCCGGCGAGCCTCGTCCTCGAAACAGCCCGAAGGCGATCGCGTAGGTGCTCGAGCTCACTCTTCTTCTTCTTCTCATCTTGGGCGAGCGCGCCATTTGGCGCCCTCGCGCGGCCGGACCGCACCGCACCGAATTGAGACTCGCCTCGACATGACTCGACTCGGACGGTCTGCTTTTTTTTTTTTGTTCTTTCTCTCGAAACGGTGAACTATGACATTGGCGAGCGACTGAACGCTTTCATTCGGATGGGGAAAGTTCTGCGCTCAATTCGCTTTTTCTTTAGCTTTTCTGCTTCTCAAATGTTCTGGCAGCTCTTCAATGGAACCGCGTCATGACGAGGACGAGCGGGTCTGTTCCTAAAAGGCTTTGGGGGCACATGTTTGCATTCGTTCAACAGCTTTTTTCTTTTTCTTCAAGTCGTTTGTCTTCTTCCGTTTCTTCATTCAAAAAAAAAATGATCGCTTTCGAAACTGAATATGGATTCGTTCCTCTCTCACATCATTTTAGTTTTCGTTTTTTTTTTTTTTTAACTCGACTCTTTTCAAGAGCTAAATCTTTTAGTTTTGTTTGTCCAAAAGTAAAGTGGAAAAAAAAGGGTGGGCAGGGTGGTCTTCTCCTGCGGCCCACCTTGTCTATAAATAACTTTGCGTCTTTCTGTCCCCCAAATAAAATGTGTTGCAGCTGTTGTGTCTCATGAAAATAAGCCCCTCTGCTGTGTGGGGGGTGGGGGGTGTCAGGGTCGGGTGTCTTCGCCCAGGACACCAGGCACTAAAAATAACCCCCCGAGCCCCCCCACCACACCTCAGTGTGATTGACAGGCGGCATGTGTGGGCGCTCAGCGATTCCCTTAAAAAGTCATCGCGCTCCTCACCGGCGACCGATCTATTCTGGGAAGGGGTCGTCACCGCGCCGAACCGGCGACCGGTCCGGCAAGTCAAACAGGGCTACTTACTTGTTAGCGCAAGGGCGCCGGCTGGGGTGATGATGGGGGGACGGGGGGACAGGTGGGGGGGTGGGCGGGGGACGCGTCCTTCTCCCGGTTGAATTCCCTTCACTCGGAAGCTCCTCCAAAGAATCCAAAGTCCCCCGAAACAAAACTACCGGCCCCGGACGGCGAGTAGTTTTGTTGGCGGCGTCCGAACCCGGAACGCTGACCCTGCTCAGAGGGGCCGGCTGCCGGACCGGGGGGCTATATACCCCCGTGACGTCGAAGGGAGCCCGCGCCCCATTGGTCGGCCTCGTGGTGGGGGTGGGGGGATTTTTATACAAGTGGTCCACATGACAGCTGTTCCTATCTGTAAACTGATTGAGGGCCCCCCCCCCCCCCCACCCAGTCCCCGCAACCAACCCCCGACACCTACTTCCGAGGCCGGCACGTGCGCGCGTGCGAAGGAGACCCCTCGAGTGGGACCTGATGTACATCGGAGTCCCCGCTGGACTGGAGCGGACTGAACACCGGTCTTGGCTTGACGAGACGAGACGGAATCGTCCTTGACTGGGCAACTCCCGACTTTGGTCAACTCCTCCGGGCTCCGGTCCCATCCGCTGCACTCTTACTCGTCTTGACGTGAACCCGCGCGACTCGGCTAAACTCTCGAGCGCTCGACGGCGCTTCAAAGTGGCCTTTGCGCGACTCTTTTGGACCGCGCCGCCTCCCGATGGGCTGTTGTACACTGCACACGACTTTGCTCGACTCGCTTGAGACGCTGCTGTGCTTTACTGTACTTGAGTGACTTAGCTTGACCCCACCCGACTCCTTTCGACCCCAGTCGACCTTATTCAACGCCACCGGATTCTGTCGTCGTCGACCGAAGTCGACTAGACTTTGCTCGGCCCCGGTCGACGCCACGGCACTCGACGCGACTTTGCTCAATGGAATTGGGCTTCGTTTTCGAACGCCGAGATGAAGAATGTTCTCCTCTGCGCCCGTGCGGGCGGACGGTTTGAACATCCGGTCTACGGGGCGCCACGCTGCCGGCGGCCGCTCGACGTTCGCTGGCGCGAGCTCGACCGAACCGCCGGTACAAATCTCCTCAATACGGTGACGAAATCGGCAGCTTTTTCACAGCTGATCCGCAGCGGTTTGGACTTTGAGCCACTCGGGGGATTCCGTCACCTTCCGCCGTTGCCGAAAAAGAGAGACGAGCGCGACCTCCGTGACACCCGCTTGTGTTGACGGTCGTGTCACGCGGCAGCTTGCAATTTTTAGGAATCCGAAACAAGCCGCTTGCGCTCAAGCCAACGGCACAGGGGGAGGGGGGGCTGAAACGCAAGATGCTGGCCACGAGGCGGCACACGTCTTCATTTGAGAACGAGTCGAGTGTGGCATTCTCAGCGGCACGGAGCTCGACCGCGGCTCCGCACGTCGCGAGGCACGCCGACAACACGCGTCGAAAAGGACGGAGACGGACCAAGCGTGCGCCGGTCGCGCGGCGGCAAATCAGCAGGATGGTGCGGAAAAATGGGAAAACGCCAAATTGCGGGAAACCGACGGGCCGGGGCCCTCAAACGCCGGCCGGCCGACGCCGCCGCCGTCGGGTGATCATTTGCCCCTGGCGTGACTCTTCCGCTTGAAGCCGTGCGGAAGTCGCGCTTTTCCTCAAGCGCAAAGCTCGACGTTTGGACAAGTCGGAAAAGCCTCTCGCACTCGAGTCCCCAACGAGAACGGCGTCGGAAAGCGGAGCGCCCGCCAGGAAATCCGTCGCGAGGCGGAAAGCAGAGGCCACACGAAGCGCACGTGGCCGGCGGGGCCCTTTAATGGAGGGCTCATCCGGAGCGCAGGCTGTCGAAGCCGCAGAACTTCCAGCGCTTCTCCAGCGTGGCGCCCACGCCGCTCAGCTCCTGCCGGAACATGAGGGGGAGGCGGGCCATCAGGCGCTCCAGCTGCCGCGACGACACCTGAGACACACGCAAAGCCGCTTTCGGGTCTGCCCTTGGGCGAGCTCGCGTATGTTTGCGCGTTGCGTTTTGGGGAGCGCGTGCGTGAGTGCGCGTGCGGGCGGGCATACCTGGGAGTCCAGCGTGTGCACGTAGGAGCACAAGTATTCCAGGTTGGCCCCAAACGGATGAACGTGCAGGAAAGCCGACATGACGCCTGGGGAAAGGGGGGGGGGGGCACATGAATGTGACATTTGGGGTCATCCAAAGGAAAACGTCAACACGTGTACGCAACATGCGGCGGCAATGAGCCCCGAAGCAGGGATGTTGGGCCCGCCCCTTCCCTGTCCCTTTTCAAGAGGCCCGACCCAATGCCGGAGCCGCTCGCTTGGACTCTTTTGCGCCGTCCGCCAGCGATGAGTGAGCGGCATTCGTCTGGGCTTTTTCTTTGGGGGTTGCCTTGTTGTCGTTGTTGGAGGTTTGCCGTCCAACAACAACATTGTGCGCTCGCTTCCAAGCGCAGCTCTTGTGGAATGCGCGGCGGAAGTCGAGCAAGGCGTCGCTTACCCAAGAGCAGAGCCTCCTTCTCTGACACCAGGACACCCCCCGCGCCTCCGCCTCGTCCCGTCTCTTGGCCGGCGCGCGGCGACGACGACAACGACGGCCACCAGCCGTCCACCTAAAAGGCAGCGGGCGCTTCGTCACTTGACGGACGGCCCGACCGAGCGGTCGACGCGGAG